AAAGACCAGAATATGCCTCCAGTTATGCCCTCCCCCTGTGTTTTCTGTGTTAAGCACTGAGCATCTCCCTTCAGAGCCTCCTTATGTACTGTGGCCAGAAGTCTCCCAGGAGAGGGGAGGCCCCAGGTGGACACGACCCAGCTCAAGAGAACAGGCTGGTAAGCCTTCTCTCCTCCTGACACTGTGTCTCTATATGGAACTGAAGGCTATGATTTTTTTTTTAATCTAAGCAGTGAATCGAAGGATGAAACTGGCTGTGAGCAACTAACCATTCAACTTTATGTCCTCTTTGAATTAAAAATCCTCCAAAATGTCTTTAGTTCCATTTTTTAGTTTTAGACTGATGAAAAATAGTTGAGGTTGTTTTACTTTTTACCAAACTACATAAAATAAACATTTCCCACAATGATTCTATCATTGAGAATATGCTCAAAGGAAGTCTCACTCAAGACTCGAGGCAGTTACCCCTAAATAAAAGCAACCCAGATCACCTTCTCCATCCTGAGATAAGCGTTATTAAAAATCAGATTCATAGCAGAAGCAAACAATGTCAAAAGAAAACGACCACAGCAAGGTTGGAGGACATGTGAGGCCAGAATTTGAGTAACACAATTAGCAGGTGGAGCCTGGTCATCCCTCTGTCACCTGGGGTTCAGGCCCCGTCTGCTTGTCCATGGGTGACAAGGTGCGAAGACAACAAACACCCTGGAGTGCTCAGAGATAACGCATCTGCCACCACCCACCACTCCAGCTAGGCTTGGAGGGAAGGAGCTGGCACACGCTGGCAGGTGCCAGAGCAGTGCATTCCTAATCGCTGGAGCCACAACTTACATGAGTAGACAGCCATGCTATCGTGGGAGGTATACCCGCCTCCCACCTCCCTGCTCCCAGCCCTGGAGTCCTGTATGCACAGGGAAGCCGGGACGTACACAGGAGCTTGCCCTTCTAGCCTGCAGCAGTCCTGCACCAGGCATTTAACAAGCACCTACTGTATGCCAGGTATCACACAGACACTTGAAGGGCAGTGAGTCACAGCCCAACGGCTGATGCAGAGATGTCCCTGGAACTGCCTGGACTGCAGAGGGAACCTCAAGTCTCAGCGGCTTTAGAAACAGCTTTGGAAAAATGCTCTAAGCTGCCCTTTCTCTGAAGAGGGGACCCAAGGCAAAGCAGGCCCTTCCTCCCATGAGCAGACCACGCCTCGCCTCTGAGGGCCAGGAAGGCCACACAGAAAGGCTTCCACAGGCCCAAAAGGAAGCTCTGCTTGTCACCCTCCTGAAGACACTGGTCTTTCATGGTACCCCAAGTCCCTCAGAGTGCCCCAGGAGAGGCAGTGTCACCTGACAGTCACAAGGGCACATGGCCACTGGCCCCAACAGTGAGGTGCTGGGTGTGGCTGACAAACTGAGCTCACCCAAACTGAGTCCAGGCTGCTAGGTCCATTCCGTGGTTCCCAATCCAGGCCGAGTTTGCCCCCCAGACAAAGCAGGGCCCACAGACATTCTGGTTACCACAGCTGGTAGGGGTGCTACTGGCGTCTAGCGGATGGAGGTCCAGGGCGCTGCTAAACATCCTACACCACTGTCGGCCCAAAATGTCCATGGAAGTGAGCTTAAGAAATCCAGCTAAATCCACTCTTCCATCCTGGGAACACAAACAAACCCTTCTCTCGCCCTTCCCAAGCCGTTGACAAAAACCACATGGCCCGGCAGCAGCCCTCCCCAAAGGGAGCATAAGTGATTATTGTCTTTATCTCAGTGACAGGACCCAGAGCCCTCTCCGCGTGGCACTGGTCCTAAATACCAGCCTTCTGGCAAAATGCAGCGAGCGCCGCTTTGCAGCCCCACCTACACCATCCGCCTCGCTCCCAGAACTGATACACAATATTTTGATACTCTGGAAATCAGGGGAAAGCTGGCAGCTATGAAAGGCAGTATTTATGGAAAACAAAACACCAGAGTGCAGAGCATTGCTATGGGCGCATGACAATGGCCCAGTGGTGGAGGAGGAGGGGTGGGTTCTTATTTCAGACCCGCAGGGAAGCGTCTGGCACACCTACTGTCCCCACTTGAGTCCCTGGGGAATCCCAGTTAATGTGCAGGAGACCGGCCTGAGGCGAGCCCCCAGCACCGGCACCCACACCCTGCTGCCGCTCAGCTCCCAAGAGCCCAGCAGATGTGCGCCGTGGGCTTACTCTGAAACCAATAAAGCCTCACAGTGACACCCAGGCCGGCGCTGGGCACCCCTCTCTAGAGGACAGGCAGGCACTGCGGCCCATCAGCATCCTGGGGGCTCATCACAGGCCACCAGGAGGTAAGGAGCCCCCTTCCCTTCCCCGGGAGCATGGAAGGCAGGGGACAGGACCACGGGTGTTAGAAGTCAGAGGGCAGACAGATGAGCCTGGGATCCTCTCATCAAACTTAACACCAGCCCTCAACCAACACCCCTTCCTTCCTCACCTGTGTCCCAGCACCTTCGAGTCTCGCCATGGTTCCCACTGTTGGTGAGGATGGCAGGGGGGCCTCTGGAGGTCTCAGGAAGTGGGGGACGGGTCATGGCCCAAGCTCCCTCAGGCTCCATACTTAGAAGACTGGTGAGAAAATCTCGGAAGTGTGGTGATGGGCTGTGCGGGGGGCCGCCTGCAGGTCCATAGCCGCGGCCGCCGTCTGCACAGGGGAGCAGCTCAGCGTGTGCGCGTGTGGGAGTGTGCACACATCTCTGTGTCCACGTACCTACATGTCATCACAATGACCAAGCCAAGACGCTAACTCAAATGTTCTGGGCTCTGGTCAGCTTTGGAGCAGGCCTCTGAGCCACATGGGTCTGTTGCTGGCCCTTCCATGTTTCTAACGACAGAAGCAAGTGTGCCTGCTCTGGGACACTGTCTTCATCACCGCACTGTTTTAATGTCGCCAGCGAGGCAGACAGCAAAGCCAGGGGGCACAGAGTGCCCAGACCACACCCAAAATGGAAGGCCGGCAAGGAAGGCCGCCTCCCTGGGGTCCAGGAGGCCTCTTCCCCGCAGGTAACACAACCCACTTCCCACCAGAGAAGTGTGTCAGTGAGACCGGCTGGTTCAATAGACTCTTTATTTGAAAGGTTTCGCAAAACCACCACCAAGTTGAATAGGCTGCACGCAATGGGCCTTCTCTTGCCTCAACTACTGTAAAAGGAACAAATCTAAAAGGCGTTGGTAAACAGAAAACGAAGTCTCACTTCCCTCAGGTGGCATCTGGCCCCCACGGTCCCCCTCCAGGCATCACCTGTGCGACACGCAGCAGGCTTTCCAAGGCCCCTCCCAGGGCCAGGGACCTTCAGGACAGGCAGGGCTGGGCCCGGCCCACCTGCTCTTTGCTTCCATTCCGCAGAGAAAACACGGAGCAGGAACATGGCCTTGAGCTTCACCCACACCCGGGCCCCCAGGGACGTCTCCAGAATGAGGAGGGAAGGGCCCAGAGTCCTCTGGGGCGCGGCACGAAGGGTCAGGAGGAGACACCAAAGCCCTGAAGCGGAGCCGGGAGTGGGGGACTCAGGGTGGCTGGTCTGAGGAGACTCAACAACAGCGACAAGTTCACTACATGTTGGCCTGCCTTTTGTTACCCCGTGTTCCAATCCTAACAACGTCAGTGATGAAATCCTGCTCCGTGTCAGAGGACGCCCCGCACCCGTCCTGGGCACACCCCTGCCTGCTCACGTATAGGAGGTGATAATCGTAATAATAATACCACACAGCTGGGATTTCCTGAGTGCCGTGCCAGCTCTGTGCTAAGTGCTGTATACACATCTCTTCATGAACCTCCATGACTGGAAGAGTCATGTCCCCATCCACCAGATGCGGAAACTGAGGCCCAAAGAGCTGAGGCAATTTGCCTAAGGTAATGGAGGGCTGCTGCTGCCCAGTGCCAACCATGGCACCACTGTCACTGTGAGACATGGCAGTCCCGCTCAGGCCCAAGGGACCCCAGCCCCTGGGAGTTCCACGCCCCCCACACCACTGACTTCACACACCAAAGGTGCAAGGCGGGCTCCTCAGGGACGTGCACAGGGACGTGCACAGAGACGTGCACAGGGACGTGCACAGGGACGTGCACAGGGACGTGCACAGGGACGTGCACAGCTCATCTGCAAGGGCTCAAAGGCCCCTCCCAGCCTGGAGCATCACCTAGTCGAGTGACAGGTCTCCTGAGGCTGTTAAACAGCCTTCCACCCTGGGCCACATAAGATAATTCACTTGTTCATGTAAAGCCACGGTTTTCTACAGGAAACTATAACAAAGTCAAATATGATCTGAGATAGTTAAGAGTCTTTTGACATTTGAAAAAACTTATTTTTTGTTTCACTGGCCTATTAAGATAATCAATTCTTCCCACCAGTTGAATAACAGCCAACCACAGAGCAGTGTCCCCAGGCCACAGAGCCCTCCAGCCCTAGGGCAGAGGCTTGGAGCTGTCTGCTGCTCCTGATACTCCTCAGATGGACAATAACCTTCTAGGCTGGGCCATCGCCAGCACAGCCTCCCGCTGCCCAGAGCCCCAAGCGCCGTGCACACCCAAACACACCCTGCACCTCTGGAGACCCAGCTTCCTTCACCTCGCCATTGCATCGCCCCTAAGGGTCCCCCGGTGCCTCCAGCACTGTGGGACTCCCATAATGCACCTGCACCTGCATTGGACACAGTGCGCTCCGCAGCTAATGACACGACTGCCAGAGACATGGACAACAATCCTCGCACAGGAGGAGGAACCTGCCGTCCAACACTGCGCGACTACCCCAGAAGCCACAGAGAGCCCGGCAGGCGTCTGCAGAACACACCAACTACAGCCTCAAGACGGCCACAGTGCAGGTGGTGGATTTAAGAGCAAGTCCTCCAACGTGTGACAGCGGCCCTGACTGTCCTCCTTCCCACCTTTCTCCACCCCTGAGCAGCCTGCCTCTTTGCCTTTTCATTGTTTCCTGGCCAGCCAGCCCCCTGCTTTTACTCTGTCCTCTCCCGTCCTCACCTGCAGTCATAGTGTCCACGTCCTTGGCTGCCAGCTCTTCCACGTCCGACTTCTTTCTCAGCTCAAACCTTCGGGACAAGCCTTCTCGGGGTTTCCATAATTCCTGGATCAAGAGGGGCTTCTCATTGTCCCCAAACACCCGAAAGCACTCGGCCTGCCACTGCTGCCCGTGATCACTGGAATGGCCCACCACATCGCACAGCACATACTGGCTGGCACACTCGGGGCTCAGCGCGTAGCGCTCCAGGGCCTCTTTCACCAGCTCCTGGGCACTGGACATGCCGGTGGCCAGGACGCTCTTGTAGTGGGTGCCTGTGCAGACACTGTCCCCAAACACCTTCAGGACCCCAGGGGCTGAGAGCTGGGTGGAGAGCTCCGCGGGGTCATCGCTGGCACCCAGGCTGGCAAAGGTAGTGTCCAGGTCGCGGTACTTGTGGCTCAGCGTCCGGGACAGCACGCTGGACAGCAGCTGGCTCTGCCGCTTCAGCTTGCTCTTGGTGGGCGGAGACATGATGAAGTGGGTCCCATAGAACATGGTGGGCCAGTCTTCATGGGCGAGGAAAAGGCCGTGTCCTGGGTGGAAACAAGGCAGGTCAGCACCGACCATCAGGAGCAGCGAGAGCCAATGAGGCTCACCTGAATGTTAACGGACTTAACAGGCCATCTAGGGCCGGCACTCCCAACAGAGGCAGCAGGCATGCCACCCTCTGCCAAGTCCCCACAGAGCACCCAAGTGAGGGTATGGCTGAAGCTGTGGGGCCCACAGGGGACAAAGCAGGTGTGAATGGGCTGAAGTGCCCTTCTAGGAAAGCCACTGCTAGGAAGCATGATGAGGTCACCAAGGGAAGACACTGCTGCAGGGCTCCGACGTCTGGGGAGCGCAGGCACGCGCAGGCCGGTGGGCAGCCCAGAGACCGACGTGGAGGCTGCACCGGCACGAGCCGCACTTGCAGGGGCGGGGCGGGCCCTCGGCGGGGCGGGACTTGGAGGCCCTGAGGCGGCCTGCCACCTGCCACATCGCACCCAAAGAAGAGTCACAAAAACGGAGAGTGCAAAGTGCCAATCTCCCTAACCCCGATCGCTTCTGCACCACAGCCGGTAACACAGAAAATTCATCGCAAACAAGTAGAAGGAGGAAAGCGGGCCAAGTTACAGCCCCAGGAAGAGCGTAAAAAGCGGTCAGACACTCCGAACACAAGCCCCCAGCACACTGCTCCTAGGTCACTGCTCCTGCCTTGGAGGAGCCGTGTCCCTCGGACGGCAGCACTACAGTGTCCACACGACCACAGTGGACACACACGGGCTCTTCCAGTGCTGAGGAGGCATGACTGGAATGTGTGCACTCCGCCCACCGCGTCCCGCCTGGTATCCAGGCCCCGTCCAGGCCACAGACACCGTCTTGGTGGGGAAATTAAGGAACAGCTTGTGGACGCGTCAGGGTGTCATACAATCATCATTCTAGTGCTCTTAGTGCTCCGAGTGCCCAGATTCTAAAGAGACAGTTTATTACGCACCCCCAGACTCTGTGGGAGCAGGAGGGCATGGCCAGGGGAAGATGTTCCTGCTTCTTAAACACAAAAGCTCTACACCAAGTTGACCGAGGGCTAAGAACTACACACATGGCCTACGACCCCTCACCTCTGTGCTCGTTTCCTCACCAGAGACAAAAGCAGACCAAAGAAGAAAAGCCCATTTTCTAGAAGCCTCTGGAAACAGTGCCCAGGTCCCAGTGAGGACCTGGCAGCACTGGACACCTGCCATTGTGACGAATGTCAGCACTAAACTCAGCTGACGTCAATACCTTCAGTCCTGACTCACTCATGACTCCATGGGCACTGAAAATGGCTTTCTGGGGAGTGAAGGTGACTGCTGAGGGCAGGAGAAGGCAACCAGGTAGCCTCCAGAAAAAAGGGCCCACACTGCCCCTGAGGCACCCAAACAGTGAAACCGTCCCGGCCTCCCGCACGGACACTGAGCTGGGATTCCTTCTAGAAGTCTACCAGGCCTCAGTTGCACGCGCTCACGTCTCAGTCCCTCCACGGCTGTCATGACTAAAGCTTGAAAAGCAGGCCTGCCCTTCAATTCCTCTAGAACCAGCCCCCATCTGTCAGGAGACCCCAAACTCTTCAAAATGCTTCTGATGGCTTCATGCACCAGACTGGGTTCCAAGCACTGACCTTTGCCTTTTTGGGGGTGGGGACATTCCCCCTGTTCTGACAGCCCACTGCTCATGTTTTACCACGGCAAGGCTTTTATTCTGAAGACCTGAAGTGTCCTAGGCAGAACGAGGCTCTCTTTGGCCTCAAGTGAGGGAAGCTGTAAAGGAGTTAATATGTCAAAGGTTTCATTTCTCCTCCCCTGAGGTATGTGTGACGAGTCTCCGTGTCAAATGCTAGGGAGGCCAGAGCTGGCTATGGCTCCCCTAGTGGGCCTTTGACAGAAAGGCCTCGATTTAATTTACAGCAAAGCATTTCAGAGAGGACGCGCAGGACAAGTGCATGGCTTCACACACCACACCAGCCACTTCAAACCACTGCCAGTTCCAACCCGAGCCTTTGAAAGGCATACAGCCTGCCTCCAAAACTGCCAACACGTGCCTCCCAGGACACCCCTCGCTCAGAGGACCTGACCCCCACCCCCATAAACGCTCCCCTTACCTGGCCTCCTTCAAGCAGAGCCCCAGGGTCCCAACCTAAACCCAAAGTGGCAGGCAGCTGTGGCTCAGAAGCCTCCGCCGTTCAACATGCTGTCTGAATGCAAATTTAAACACCATGTGGAAAACTCTGGAATCCATATCTACGCAGAAAAACCCCGTGTCACAGAAAAGCCATGAAGTAAACACACGGGCCTAAAATGCCCGATACGTTGGGAAGTCAATTGCTATTTTGCACCTGGGGTGAGTCCAGGTCTGTAAGGTGTAAAGCTTATGCAGCTCTGCTCTAATAAAGAAGAAACAGAAAATTACAAATGCACAGCTGCTAGTCCTCTCCCAGGGCCTGGGCCATGAGCGTCCCTCCCTCCTCTTCAGTCATCCCTGGTGTTGGATTGAGGCAAAATCAGCGACATCACGAAAGGAGGGCAGAAAACAATGGGGAGAGCATAATTAGTGCCTTCTTAAGTCCAAAGAAGTCCCAGTAAACACAGACTCGGATCTGTTTCACCAGGAAGTTTTTTTCCTCCTTATGGTCATTCTCTCTGTGACCATTTTCAGAGGGTAACCACTGATGGTCACTTGTTAGCGCGTCACCTTCCTTCATGAGGCAGAGTACAGCCTGTTTGTCGAAATGGGATGGACTCGTTTTTAAGAATGGGCAAGAGTGCAGGGATATCCTACAGAGCGGGGAATGCCCTGGGTAACTAGACCTGGTTTGGAGGAGGCAGGACCCGCCTTTCCCTTTTCTGTTCAGTTCTCTCCTCTTTCACACAAATATTTGGGGGAACACGGTCCCAAGGGTGTAGGACGCTGGCTGTTGCTTCTCTTAGAGAATGTTTTTCTCTTGTTCTCAAGGAAGAGTCCAAGTTCTGATGAAAACAAGCTCAAGTCACACCACTGAGTGCAGTGAGTGAGGTCAGTGTGAGGCTGACAAAATGGGCGGAGGACACGGCCATTCCAGCACCGCAATGTGGAATCCATTACAGTTTCCACCAGGACAGGAAAGGAAGAGGGTAGGCTTGCAGGCTCTGCTTTATTCCCACCGTCCATAAATCCTATCTTGATAGCTCCAGCCAGAGCGATGCTTTTACATACAAAATAATTTAATCAGATTTAATTCCGACATGCCAGCCTCTTGAGAGGGGACTGACTTTTTCTGCCAATGGGATTAAGGACTGGCTCCTCTCTGGAATGCACAAGAGGTGGCCCATGCTAACAGGAGACACCTGTAATCACGGGCGGCTTGGAAAATTCTTTTCGGCAATTCAGATTAACCAAACACTTGGCAGGGTGCTGGGGCCTGAGCCAGCGGGTCTGCAGCTCCAAAGGGCCCCACCAACCGGCTCCCTGGTGGGAAATACGCCAGTTTCTTGCGCGGAGCCCCCAGGAGTTCCAGCTCAGCATCTGTTTTCTTAGATGCAGTATTTGTAGAAGGGCTGGAAGTGGTACAGAAATAGCTGGGAGACAATGCTTTTCAGCTGGCACGAGTGGGGAACTAACTAGCTGCTGTGCGAACAGGAAAACCGGGACGGGCTGTGGGCGGGATGGGGGGAGTCACGCCGACACTGGAAGGAGGGTGTGGACCCCCGCGGCGCCCCCGCTGCTAGACACCCTCCAAGGGGAACACCAGGGAGACTAAGGCGCGGGGATCCTCTGGGTTGGAGGGCCAAGGTACAAGGGTCGCAGGGGGCGGTGGTAGAAGTAGACACCCTGGAACCCGAAGGCTGGGCCGCCCTCGCTCGCGTGGCTAGCCTTCGGGTCCCGCCCCCCAGGGCCACGCCCGGGGCCCCAAAAGCCGGCCGGTTTCCATGGCAACCAGAAAAACCTGGCCTGAGCAGGCCGGGTGATGCCCTGTGAGGGCCCCGCTGCCGAAGCGCGCGCCCTGCGGCCTCCCCCGTGCCGGAGTCCCAGCCGCCGCCGAGCAGCCCGCACCTCCGCCACCTCTCCTCGCGCACCCTGCACTCACCTCCAGCCCAGCCCGCCGCCGTTGTCGCCTCACCTCCGCCGCAGCGTTCGCGCGCGCCTCCCACACCCGCCGTTAGCCTGAGCCCGTTCGGATGACCCGCGAGCGCTGAGCGGTGCGGCGCCTCCTGCCGGCCGCCCAACGGACGGGGCGGGACTCCAAAGGGGCGGGGCTTCGGTGGACATGGCCTCTTAGAGGGCAGGCGGCGAAAAGAGGAGGGCAGGGCGCTGGCTCTTCCTGCAGGCCACCCAATGGACAGGGCCCAGACCTCGAGGAGGCGGGGCCTCAACGGAAAGGGCGGAGTCGGCGATGGGTTGGGCTAGGCGCCGGCGACTCCTGCTGACCAATTAATAGATGTGGGCGTGGTCTTGAAATGCAGGGGCAGGGTCTCCAGAGCTGGGGGCGGGGCTGGTTGCAGAGAGGCGGGGCTATGCAGCACACCCCCTTCGCAGTTCAAGGGACAGGGCCTCCCTCGGCAGGAGGGCCGGGGCCAGTGCTAAACTCGGGTACCAAGTGCTGGCCTCAGGCTCTGGGGGACAAAGGGGCTGTCCCCACCTATTAGTCCTATAATGGACAGGGACAGGGCCAAAGAAAGAAGGGAGCAGGCTCAGGCAAGCGCTTACTGGAAGTGGATGGCCATATGTATGAACATCTGAGACACTGAAAGGGGATGAGGATGGCGGGTTTCATCTCCCCTACAATCTGTCCCCCACCCATCAGCCAGAGTTTTAAGTGACACATCAGATCATGGCACTCGTCTACTTAAAACGATGCAAAACCAGACCAGGTCAGCTCTGGAGCTCTGGCCTAACTACCTTCCTTGGATAACATGTTTTAAAAGAAACTCGCGTCCTTAGAGCTCACTTTGGCACCAGCCCTCCGACTGGGGTTTCACCCTGAAGAAAGGCTTCTCACAGACAGGTCCCTTTGTACCACACAGCTCACATCTAGACCTGG